CCAGCCGTTCCGGGGCACGTGGGGTCTTCCCGGACCGGGGCACGAACCCGTGTCCCCTGCATCGGCAGGTGGACTCTCAACCACTGCGTCACCAGGGAAGCCCCTTATGCCCATTTTTTGATTGGGTTTTTTGTTTTGATATTAAGCCACATGAGCTGTTCGTAAATTTTGGAGACTAATCCCTTGTCGGTCTCATCATTTGAAAATATTTTCTTCCAATCTGTGGGTTGTCTTTTCGTTTTATGGTTTCCTTTGCTGTGCAAAAGCTTTTGAGTTTAATTAGGTCCCATTTGTTTATTTTTGTTTTTATTTCCATTATTCTGGGAGACGGATGGGAAAAGATATTGCTGCGATTTATGTCAGAGAGTGTTCTGCCTATGTTTTCCTCTAAGAGTTTTATAGTGTCTGGTCTCACATTTAGGTTTTTAATCCATTTTGAGCTTATTTTTGTGTATGGTGTTAAAGAATGGTCTGATTTCATTTTTTTACATGTAGCTGTCCAGTTTTCCCAGTACCATTTGTTGAAGAGACTGCCTTTCCACCACTGTATAGTCTTGCCTCCTTGGTCGTAGGTTAATTAACCATAGGTGCGTGGGTTCATTTCTGGGCTTTCTATCCTGTTCCATTGATCTACAGTTCTGTTTTTGTGCCACTACCATACTGTTTTGATGACTACAGCTTTGTAGTATAGTCTGAAGTCAGGGAGCCTGATTTCTCCAGTTCCATTTTTCTTTCTCAAGATTGCTTTGGCTATTTGGGGTCTTTTGTGTCTCCATACAAATTTTAAGATTTTTTTTGTTCCAGTTCTGTGAAAAATTCCATTGGTAATTTGATAGGGATTGCACTGAATCTGTAGACTGCCTTGGGTAGTATAGTCATTTTGACAATATTTATTCCATTCCAAGAACATGGTATATCTTTCCATCTGTTGTCTTCTCCAGTTTCTTTCATTGGCATCTTATAGTTTTTGGAGTACAGGTCTTTCGTCTCCTTAGGTAGGTTTATTCCTACATATTTTATTCTTTTTGATGCAGTGATAAATGGGATTGTTTCTTGAATTTCTCTTTCTGATCTTTCATTGTTAGTGTGTAGAAATGCAGCAGGTGTCTGTGTATTAATTTTGTAGACTGCAACTTTACTAAATTCATTGATGAGCTCTGTAGTTTTCTGGTAGCGTCTTTAGAATTTTCTGTGTATACTATCATGTCATCTGTAAACATTGACAGTTTCTTTTCCAATTTGGATTCTTTTTATTTCTTCTTCTTCTCTGCCGTAGCTAGGACTTCCAAAACTGTTGAATAAAAGTGGTGAGAGTGGGCATCCTTGTCTTGTTCCTGATCTTAGAGGAAATGCTTTCAGCTTTTCACCGTTGAGTATGATGCTAGCTGTAGGTTTGTCATATATGGCCTTTACTATGTTGAGGTAGGTTCCCTCTGTGCCCACTTTCTGGAGAGTTTTTATCATAAATCGGTGTTAAATTTTGTCAAAAGCTTTTTCTGCATCTATTGAGATGATCATAGGTTTTTATTCTTCAATTTGTTGATACGGTGTATCACGCTGATTGATTTGCGGATTCTGAGAAATCCTTGATCATGGTGTATGATCCTTTTAATGTATTGTTGGGTTCAAATTGCTAACATTTTGTTGAGGATTTTTGCTTCTATGTTCATCAGTGATATTGGCTGGTAATTTTCTTTTTTAGTGGTATTTTTGTCTGGTTTTGGTATTAGGGTGATGGTGGCCTCATAGAATGAGTTTGGGAGTTTTCCTTCCTCTGCAATTTTTTGGAATGGTTTCCGAAGGACACGTATTAGCTGTTTTCTAAATGTTTGATAGAATTCACCTGTGAAGCCATCAGGTCCTGGACTTTTGTTTGTAGTTTTTTAATTACAGTTTCAATTTCAGTGCTTGTGATTGGTCTGTTCATATTTTCTGACTCTTCTGGTTCAGTCCTGGGAGACTGTACCTTTCCATATTAGTAGCATTTTATAATTCTTTGTCTTTTAAGTACATGAGTCACTTATCCGTTACTACAGCATGTGTATGTGTTAAACAGTCATGTTTCTATACCAGAGACATTGATTCATTCTGCCAACAGGCATGTGCTTAGTGCGCACGTGGATCCCTGGTCACCCATATCCCACTACTTGCTAATTGGGAACAACTGTTCTAAAGAGGACAGCAAATGTATTTAATAGCATTATGTAAAGTTCTGTTTTTTATTCCCTGGTTTAAATTTACTAGATGGATTTTGGTCCTACATCCTTCCACTCGATACTTTTCCCCCATTCATTTAAATTCATTTCCTTAGAGTTTTACATTATTTCTAAGAAAGGGAACTGAAACTTTGATAGCCCCAAACCTGCATACCGTTTTTTTGCCTTAATATTGACCATAGCATTAAGTATTCTTTTGTAGCTGTCTCAGACCCTTTTGTTTCATCTTATTCTGTTTAACATAACAGACACCAAAAAAATAGGCTTATTGGAATTTGTTTGGGTGGGACCCTGTAAGGTTAATCAGAACCTTGAGCAGCCATTCCGATCTACAGGGCTTCCTCCGTGGTCACCCTCACCCCCCCCACCCCCCCCCACTCCCCCGCAAAGCCTTTCTAGCAAAAGCCTTGTTCCCTAGCCCTGGGGACTTCTCACCCTTTGCAGGTGTTACTCCACCTCTCAAAGCACTGTTCATTCAGGGAACGCAGGGTAAGAGTGGGGGGATAAATGAGGAGTTTAGGACTAACATTATAACATGCTGTATATAAAATAAACAACAAGGCCCTACTGTATAGCACAGGGAACTATGTTCAATGTCTTATAGTAACCTATAATGAAAAAATATATATATAGATAAGTCACTGTGCTGTGCACCAGCAACTAACACTACATTGTAAATCAACTATACTTCAATTAAAAAAAAAAAAGAACCCTATAGGGTAAGAATAGGGGAATCTTCTGTAGGACATAAGTCAGAATTTAACCGTTTTAACGGTTGCTTCATAATAAAGGTACACCTTATAAGCGTTAAATGATTATTGATAAGGTGATGAAATAACAGTACTGACGGCATGTCATAAGCTGGTCAGTGGTACTAAGTTATGATAAACATTAATGTTTTTAAAGATCAGGCTGCTTTGAACTAACTTTGGTCATTAATGTGAACTGAAATGAAGGATATAACTCACTGTTACTTTATTATAGAACCTTGCTGCTGAAAAAACATACAACAACCTAGACATCACGGTGACCCAGGCCCTGCAGCACCGGTCACAGTACTTTGAAGGCGTAGTGAAGTGCAGTAAGCTGGAGGTACTGGAGACCATCGTGGACAGAATAGTGAGAGCCGAGGTGAAGTGGCTGCACCCGGGTCCCTCCCCACCGCCCCGTCTGCCATGAGCACCTAAGTAGGAAACAGTGCCCCAGGAATTCTGAGTCACAGGACCAGCCCGTGAGGCAGCCTTCCAGTCCAGTCCCGTGACACAGTCTCCCTGCTCCAGAACCTAGCACGTTTCTTGGCACATAGTAGGTCATCTGTGAATGTTCACTGAATTGAATTTAATTTATAAGTCCTGACATCATAGCTCAATCAAATAAAGATACTTTCATGGTTTTACAACATACTTGAGAAGACAGAAGTCCCAAGAGCTTTAAGTTTCATTAGAGTATTGATGAATTTAAAGCTAAAAATGTGTAATTATGTGGTTTTAACAAGTCAATAAAATGTATTCTGATCTTTTTTTTAAGTTAAACACCCCGCTCCGTCCTCAGCAGAGCTGACTTCCCCAAGCTTCAGCTGCCATGGCTTTTACCCTGTTTCACTAGTCTCAACACGAAGTCTTTTTCTACTTGAATTTAACATCCATTACTAGTTTTCCAGAGGGTTCTAATTGACTTAGGAATACATCTAAGCTTTTAATTGTTCTTTTGTATATGCCTTTTGAAGATCGTAAGCAGAAATAGGTAAGACACTCCTCCCTAATTTTAAGGACAATGGACCACATCCATCTGATGGAATCCTCTGTAACAATTAAAAATCATGTTAAAGGAGAATACTGTTGATATGGAAAAACAATATATTGCTAAGAGAAAAGCCAGTTACTATATATAGTGTGATGCTTCGTGTTAACATATGTGCACGTGCATAGAAAAGAGACTAGAAAGACTCGCACCTCAGTATTAACACGGCTGTTTCTGTGGAGAATGCCAGCACGCCTTCATGTTCCCAAGACCCCTGTTTGAGCGCGTGCTACTGTCAGGTAGGTAGGAGAAGAAAGTGATTGGCTTGTCCTGGAAGTCCATCTGGTGAGCAGCACAAACTTTAATATGAAAATAGGTCACTGAGGGAAATACAGGTGTAATTAAAAGTTTTCTCAAGTTACCCACCTTGACTTTTTTCGTCATTAATTTTTTTCACCATGTGACTCCTTGTTGGGGGACAAAGACCAGTTTTTAGCTTCAACATGTATGTATACACACACACACATACACACACACACACACATATATACACACATATATACACATACACATATACACACATACATACGCATACACACATACACACACACACATACACATATACGCACACATACATACACATATACACACACATATACACATACACATATATATGCACACACATATACATACGGACACATACACATATGCACGCACACGTACATACACATATATACACATATACATATATACACGCGTACACATACATACACATATATACATACACATATATATACATACACACATACATACACATATATATACACACATATTTTATATATATATAGTATACTTTTGGCTGCACTGAGCAGCTTGTGGGATCTTAGTTCCCCAACCAGGGACTGAACCCAGGCCCTCGGCAGTGAAAGCACAGAATCCTAACCAGTGGACCGCCAGGGAATTCCCAGCTTCAACATATTTTGTTAGGAGAAGGGTATACGGTATCAGCGATGATTTGGTTTATTTATATGACAAATATCACACTAGCTTTTAGAAAAGAAACATTCATAAGTTTAGACTCAGCAACAGATGATAATATTTTTGGTGGTCATTTCCGTCTGGCAGAACTAATTCTAAGTGAAATGGTCTCCCCTTGACCTTTAGTAGTTCAAAAGATAGTTATTTATCATTATTAAATGTTAACAACAAAATGTGTCTAGTATAGAATATATAGCATTCTCTGGCCCTAGATGTAAATCAACTTACGATTAAAGTTAATAGATAACTGTGTTATATCACAGGGTTACTGAAGAACATAACTTTTTCTAGAGAAGCTTTTAAAAGAAATTTATGTTGATTAGCATGAGAAAGATGACAAAGTGATTTCTCTTTTAACCTAAAAGCAAGCTATGATGTCAAAAGCATCACCGGCACAGTATCATTAGAGACAAACTATAAAAATGATTTCCCCGCTCCTCCCATCTCCCTCCTGTGCCACCCATTCTGTACCCGCGGGTTCTAACTGTTCAGTGTGGAGAAGAGGATCTCCAGGGTAACCGACTGGCATGTGGTTGCCTCAAGCCTAAATTCTAAAGCTTCTAAATCAGAGAAGCGTGATGCTCTCTCCCTCCTTTCCTGTTTTAAGGACACTTTGCTATAGTAATACCTCAGAACATTGTCCACTCACTTATAAAAGACTTTCAAGTAGAAAACAAGATGTGAATGTAATTTATTTCACTTTATTATAGTTGATCATCCTCTGACTGTTATTCTTAATATATGAACTTCATAGAGAAAAGGGGAAATATAATCTAAGAGCAGTGACCTTCTATTTAGTTTCACTGCTTAGTTGGACTTCTCTCCCAGGTGAAAACAGTTATCTGATAGTTGGTGAAAACAGTTATCTGATAGTTAGTAGAAACAGAGATACAACTTTTAAAAATTAAAAACCGCTTAAGAGATTAGAGCCACATGAGCAGCTACTGTGACACTTCATGTTTTGAATTGTATCTTTCATATATTAATATTTTGAAAATAGAAAACTCAGCAGGACATATCTGGCTAATTTTTCTTCAAAGTAGTCAAGCAAATCAGCATTGCATTTTAACAGAGCCAAGACCATTGCATGGTTCTGTGCACTGTTACTTTCTCTCATTTGTGGGATCTGTTCACTGTATAGCACATGAAAGACTTTTTTTCTAATGTCCATTTTAAACCTTTACTTATTTCAACTTTCACACTTGGCCTCCTTTCCTCTTGTTTGCAGGTCCATCGGCTGGTGGTAGTAAACGAAACAGACAGTATCGTGGGTATTATTTCCCTGTCGGATATTCTGCAAGCCCTGATACTCACCCCTGCAGGTATAAATGCCAGTGTCTGACCTTTACTGTAAGTGCACAGGGAGCCGGGGTGGGGGCGGGGCGGGGATGCGGGGCAGCAAGCCCTCCCTCGCCCACCTGCCAGCCGCACCTTTCTGTGCAGTACTTTGTAAACCATTTTCATTTTCTTTGTGGTTTTGAAGTTCTCCTATTCTACCTGAGAGAACAGCTTATAGAAAGTATTCTGACTTTAGAGCATCCTGTTGACACCCAGAAGTGCTTAAGTAATCGAGGATTCATTGCCATGATCTTCATAACCTTTGCCCATTAAAAAGTGAAGATCTCCTCAGTTTTGCTTTATGTTTAGGACTACTAACTGGAAATCAGGAGGGAAATTCTTTGGGATCTAAGTATTGAAACCATCTACCCTTCAAAAAAAAAAAGCTTACTAGTAGCGAGTATATAAAAGTTTGACCTACACAAACTTTTTTCCATTAATACTGTATGGAAATTATGTTAACTGCCAAACGTTGGTGACTAAACTCATTTTCTGCCAGATTAACTCTAAGCAAACCTTCAGGTCACAGTCAGGGAGCCCGTGAGGCAGGGGGAGGGAGGGGCCTTTCGTGTTTCTCCTGTGTCACAGTTTAATCGTTTAATGGCTGAAGGGGTCCTAAAACCACCAGCCCTCCACTTCCCCTCCCCACCCACACGAAGTACAGACAACCCTGCCTCAGGCCTCACAGATCAAGGCCAGGACAGGAGACTAAACCATGTGCCCTTTGAACTCTTAGAAGTTAAACATTAAAATGTACCTTTACTAGGGTATTGATTTTTCTTTAGTTCAGAAATAAATCACACTGGCCAAGACTAGTTTTTACAGTTGGCCTATAGCCTGGAGATACCCCCGCAAAAGGAATCCCCATCACCAGCGAGAAACAGATGGCACTGATTAAGTGAGAAGCGCAGGGGCGTGATTCCGGGGGGCGGTGACTCCCGGCAGGCTGTAAAGGAGCAGCAGCTGGACATTGTTAGAAACGCACAGGTGGGGCCCAGCCCATGTCTGCCGAGTCAGAAACTCTAGACACGGGGGGCTTGCTGCAGCCATTTTCAAATGTCAGATATGTGAGAACCTGAAACCCATGGTAACCTCTTTTTAATCATTACATAAGTTTTAGTACAGTGTTCGAGTTCAACATGTGTGCACACTACAGAGTGATCACCCCCCAAGACCAGCTATCATCCACCACCATACAGCTGAGCCTCTCACCCACTGCACCCACCCCCACCCCCTTCCCTTCTGGTAACCACTGCTGTGTTCCCCACGTTCTTCTGTTGTCTTTGTTCGTTCATCAGTTTTGGCTTGGGTCTTTTTAGATTCCACATATGAATGAAACCATATGGTATTTATCTTTCTCTGTCTTGATTTATTTCACTTAGAAATAAGTGAAAGATCCATCCATGTTGTCAAAAATGGCAGGATTTCATTTTTGTTTTTTTTATGGCTCATGATAATCTCTGTAGTCATTAAATGAGAAAAGGACTAAAAGATGTGAGCCTGTTCACAGCATTACTTGTAATAACCTCAAACTGGAAATAACCCAAATATCTTTAAGCAGAAGAACGGACAGACTGCATTCTGTCCATTAGTGGAATGCATTGATGGTGAACACACATAGCTGTATCAGACGGTGGATGAACGCCACAGACGAAACAGACCAAGGAAGCAGGACCAATGGCGGAGAGTGTGATTGCATTTACATACAGCTGACCCTTGAGCAACACGGGTCCACTTATACGTGAATTTGTTTCAATAGTAGATACTGCAGTGCTACACAGTCCACAGTTGGTTGAATCCACAGACACCGAACTGCGGACATGGACGGGAATCATGGATACAAAGGATAAGTTGTGTGTAGCGCCCCAGTGTTTTTCAAGGGTCAGCTGTGCAGCTCCCCTGTGCATGTTAGGAAAAGAACTCATCTCCAAGCAGGCTTATCCCCACAGGCACGTAACTTGGCACCTTCAGAAAAAGACGCCCCTTTTCTAGTCGGCTGGCCCTGGGCCAAGGCACACAGCTTGCCGGGCTGAGTCAGGCCAAATGTCAACTCGCTTCTGTCCCCGTGGCCAAGATTCTTTGTGCATTACCAATTCAGAGTAAGCAATTCTCTATCCTCTCTATGTCTTGGTGTCACAAACCATAAGAATGAGAATGTTCGCCTGGATGAGTTTAAATTTCCATCCAAATTTGATATTTCAAAAATTCTAAATTATTAATGCAAGTCAGCATTAATGAAAATGCAAGGAGGAAACCTGTTCCACGGCTGGATTTGGAATGTATGTTACCACAGAAATAAATATTGTAAAGACAGGGATATTCGGATTAGAATTCTTTGTAGCACGGTGTGTATAACGCTGCTCATTTAGGAAAATCCCCTGTATTCCTAGTAACTGGATTACCGGTGAACACCGGGAGCAGCGCTGTCTTGGAAGAGAGGGAGCGCCTCCATCAGATCAGGCGCTAGCATACTCGGGTGACCGTGTGGTGCGAGCATCAGACTAGAGGTCCAGCCTGGGCAGCCCAACCCCGCTGTCCCCTCGGAGCTGTGTGAGTGTGGGCCAGCTCGCTGCTCACCTGTGCAGCCTCCATCCCTCCCTTCAGCTATAGGATGAGCAGCCTGACACAGGCCTAGTGGCCCTCCAGAGATACTCTGACTGAAACCACAGCCGTGTGTGAACGCTGTGCGCCGTCAGACCCCATACCCGGGACAAGCCCCATACCTGGACAAGCCCTGCTGAGTGGATGTTTATGGAATAATCAGTAAGAGATGCTTTTTGAAAGAATCCACTATTATGTGAATAAAAGGTACCAGTGGTTATTCTTTTCACCAGATAATGGACACAATTCCCCATTAAGGATACTGATTTGATATAATAACATCTTCTCTTTTTTAAAAAGTTTTTAGCAGCAGTTCACTGTCCAACTTAATTCAGACTATCCAAACAAACCTAAGTATCCACATGTGCAACTAGTGAGTAAACAGCCTGATGGCAGTAGCTACAATTTTAGCACTTATTTTTATAGAGTGTTGATCTCTTTCAAAGTTGAGTGTCTTCTAGTGTCTGATGAGAAAATACAGAATCTGTTGTAATGAAAAAAATGGCAGCTCCCCCTCCCAACCCATTTCAAAATATCCTGGCAAGGTGAGAGTAGGTTTTATGTGCAGTTACTGTAAGCATGTTTAATGCTTTTACATTTTTATAAGTATGTACAACATAAATACTTTGCACCTTCACTAAAACTTAAATACATATTTCTTTTAAAAACTTTTAGCAGCAGAACCCTCTTCTTTTCCAAATTAAACCTTGCATTATGATATGCAGGGAATTCCCTGATGGTCCAGTGGTTAGGACTTCGCGCTTTCACTGCCGTGGCCCAACTTCAGTCTCTGGTCGGGAAAGTAAGATCCCTCAAGCCTTGTGGCATGGCCAGAAGGAAAAAAAAAAAAAAAAGTGCTAGAATTACGATACGCAAAATGGATTAAAAGCGTGCTGCAGTGATGGCAGGCGGGGATGGGGAGCCTGGAGCTCACCTGCTCATTCCCCACGTCTCCTAAGGCTCTGCAGGTGCGGGTCCGTGCCACCAGGCAGAGAACCACCACTGCCCTCATATAGGACATGCACAGCTGCAACGTATCTTTATATGGCTTTGAAACTTTCGTTTCCCATCTCCTGATAGGTGCCAAGCAGGAGGAGACAGAAACCGAATGACAACCGTGAGTGGAGGAGCCCTTGCAGGAGAACTTGAACAAAGATGCTGGGTCACGCTTTGCCTCATGAACACTGACCGCGATAGAACAGAGTCCAATGGCTGAGAATGTGTATCAGGGTTTTAGTGATGGGTGTTTTTTCCAGTGATGTTGAAACTAAGCATAAAAAAGAAAGATGTTGTGTTTGAAGATGCGAGCTTGCATTAAAAGACTCTTTTCAGACCGTTGTCTAAAAGATTTCAAATGCTGTATGTCATTAAAGTGCACTGTGTCCTGAATTTCTATTATTTTTCATTTTAAAGAATTCACTGGTATCTAACAGGTAATATGACATAAGGCGAGTGTGTGGCATATTGAGATCTAGTGCCTTATGTCAGAACAGCGATATGTCATCACTACTGCCCATCGCAGCTGGAGCGTCCTTGTGAACTGACACTGCTGGAGTGTGAACGTCTGAACCTTTACCAAATCAGTTTGTTTTCATTAGATTCGTTGAGTAGCTGTAATTTGAATATAAATAATTACTTTATAAAACTTTAATGATGGTTTTATGTGTTAGTGTTCTGTTCTGAACCATAGTGTAAACAAGGCTGATTTACAACAGTTCTATTTATTTTTACTTTCATGCAATTTTTTACACATCTTTTGGTGGGTAAACTTCACCGTACCCATTAATAAGCCATTGGTTGCTATTTTAAAAGGGCGAAATTCTCATTAAGTTTGATCTGGAAAGGATATGACTTCTCTAATAGCCACTGTTAGGTTTTAAAAGGTGAAGTTTCTAACAGCATTTGTGGGAACCTCTCTGTGGGGCTGCAAACAAAGTGCCGGGAAGATGTCTATTTTTTCTTGTGTTTTGACATGAAAATCATGACGTTTGTGTGATTGCTGATGCGATTGTTTTGTAAATTTTACTGTGGCATATACAGTATTGTCATATGGTGAGGAGAAACACAATGTTTCCTAATGTAAGTGCTCTGAAAATGTTGACACTGTGTGTGTGTGTGTGTGTGTGTGTGTGTGTGTGTGTGTGTGTGTATATGAAGTATAGTTTGGTTTTTTGGGGGGTTTTTTTTGCAGATTGAAAAATTAAAATAAATCTTACTATCTGCCATCTTGTTACAGAAGTTCTTTAAAATACTTTGTATTTCAGCACATTTCTTTTTTTAACATCTTTATTGGAGTATAATTGCTTTACAATGGAGTGTTAGTTTCTGCTGTATAACGAAGTGAATCAGCTCTGCGTATACATATATCCCCACTTCTCCCTCTTGCGTCTCCCTCCCACCCTCCCTATCCCACCCCTCTAGGTGGTCACAGAGCACGGAGCTGATCTCCCTGTCAGCACATATTAATTAAAATCCTACATTCAGTTTCCCACTTAGATATTTCCCCCCAAATAAAGGAGAACATGAATTCTCATATTCTTTTTTACATCAACAGAAAAAAACCTTAATGATCTGATTCATAAACTTTCTCCATTATTAAATAGAACATATTTAATTAAAAATTGCCATGCAGATTTTCTTGTGCTAGGTGTCAATTTTTTCATCTCCTAGTAGGCCAAATATGAGAGAAGGAGATTTTTGTCTATGTTTTCCCCATAGAAATAGTAGTGGTTGTGACTTAGGCTAATGGTAATACTCGGAGAACAATGAAATATCAGAAAGTTTTTAAAAACCCCTTTTAAAACTCTGTCCAAAAAAAACCCAGACAAACAAATACCTAGGAATAAACCTGACCAAGGAGGTGAAAGACATATGCTGAGAACTATAAAACACTGATAAAGGAAACTGGAGATTATTCAAAGAAATGGAAATACATCCCATGCTCTGAGATTGGAAGAATATTATTAAAATGGCCTTACTACCCAAAGTAATCTACAGATTTAATGCAATCTCTATCAAATTACCATGACGTTGTTTTACAGAACTAGAATAATCCTAAAATTTATATGGAGCCACAAAAGATCCAGAATTGCCAAAGCAATACTAAGGAAAAAGAACAAAGCTGGAGGCATAACCCTCCCAGACTCCAGACACTACTACAAAGCTATAGTAATCAAAAGAGCATCGTATTGGCACAAAAACAGACATATGGATCAATGGAACAGAATAGAGAGCCCAGAATTAAACCTACACACCTATGGCCAATTAATCTTCGACAAAGGAGGCAAAAATACATAACATAGAAAAGAAAGACTCTTCAGCAAGTGGTGTTGGGAAAGCTGGACAGCTGCATGTAAATCAATGAAGTTAGAACGCTCCCTCACACCATACTCAAAAACAAACTCAAAAATGGCTTAAAGACTTAAATATAAGACATGACACCATAAAATTCCTAGAAGAGAACATAGGCAAAACACTCTCTGACATTAATGGTAACAATGTTTTCTTAGGTCAGTCTTCCAAGGCAAAAGAAAAGCAAAAATAAATGGGACCTAATCAAACTTACAAGCTTTTGCACAGCAAAGGAAACCATAAACAAAAATGAAAACCTATGAAATGGGAGAAAATATTTACAAATAATGTGATCAACAAGAGCTTAATTTCCAAAATATACAAACAGCTCATACAGCTCAATATCAAAAAAACAACCCAATCAAAAAATGGGCAGAAGACCTAAATAGACATTTCTCCAAAGAAGATATACAGATGGCCAACAGATGCATGAAAAGATGCTCAACATCGCTAATGATTAGAGAAATGCAAATCAAAACTACAATGAGGTATCACCTCACACCAGTCAGAATGACCATCACCAAAAAATCTACAAATAATAAATGCTGGAGAGGGTGTGGAGACAAGGGAACCCTCCTACACTGTTTGTGGGAATGTAAATTGGTGCAGCCACTATGGAGAACAGTATGGAGGGTCCTTGAATAAAAACAGGGTTGCCATATAATCGTGCAATCCTACTCCTGGTCATATATCCAAAAAGACAAAAACTAATCCGAAAAGATACATGCACCCCAATGTTCATAGCACTATTTATAATAGTCAAGATATGGAAGTAAGTGTCCATCAACAGATGAATATACAAAGAAGATGTGGTACATATATACAATGGAATATTACTCAGCAATAAAGAATGAAATAATGCCATTTGCAGCAACATGGATGGACCTAGAGATTATCATACTAAGTGAAGTCAGAGACAAATTATATGATATCACTTATATGTGGAATCTAAAAAAGTGATACAAATGAACTTATTTACAAAACAAATAGATTCACATAGAAAACAAACTTATGGTTAACAAAGGGTAAAGTGGGGGGCGGGGTAAGTTAGGAGTTTGGGGTTAACAGATACACACTACTATATATAAAACAGCGCATCCCTGGTGGCGCAGTGGTTAAGAATCCGCCTGCCAACGCAGGGGACACAGATTCAAGCCCTGGTCCAGCAAGAGCAACTAAGCCCATGTGCCACAACTACCAAGCCCGCACGCCTAGAGCCCGTGCGCCACAACTACCGAGCCCGCACGCCTAGAGCCCGTGCGCCACAACTACCGAGCCCGCACACCTAGAGCCCGTGCGCCACAACTACCGAGCCTGCACGCCTAGAGCCCATGTGCCACAACTACCGAGGCTGCGCGCCTAGAGCCCGTGCGCCACAACTACTGAGCCTGCGCTCTAGAGCCTGTGCGCCACAACTACTGAGCCTGCGCGCCTAGAGCCCGCGAGCCACAACTACTGAGCCCGTGCGCCACAACTACTGAGCCCGCACGCCTAGAGCCCGTGCTCCGCAACAAGAGAGACCACAGCAATGAGAAGCCTGCGCACCACAACGAAGAGTAGCCCCCGCTCACCGCAACTAGAGAAAGCCCGCGCGCAGCAACGAAAACCCAACACAGCCAAAAATAAAAATAAAATAGATAAAACAAGGACTTACTGTATAGCACAGAGAACTATATTCAATATCTTGTAATAATCTATAGTGGAAAAAAAACGGAAAAAGAATATATGTATATACACATATGAATCACTTTGCAGCACACCTGAAACTAACACAACATTGTAAATCAACTATACCTCAATTTAAAAAAGAAAAAAATACTTGGGGGGCTTCCCTGGTGGCGCAGTGCTTGAGAGTCCGCCTGCCGTTGCAGGAGACGCGGGCTCCTGCCCCGTTTCGGGAAGATCCCACATGCCGCGGAGCGGCTGGGCCCGTGAGCCATGGCCGCTGAGCCTGCGCGTCCGGAGCCTGTGCTCCGCAAATGGGAGAGGCCACAACAGTGAGAGGCCCGCGTACCGCCCAAAAAAAAAAAAAAAAAAAAAAAAAAAAAAAAAAAAAAAAAAAAAAAAAAAATACTTGGGAAAAGGAAAAAAATCTCAAAGCTGCTAAAATAACAGTTTTTAAACTCAAAGTACCTATTCTCAATCCGCCCCTTCCTTGTGTAGCATACGGGAGCATGCACAGACTATGCACGGTGTGAAGGAGGCATGCTGTGTGTCTTCTGCTTCAGAAGACAGCTGGGAGCCACTTAACAAAGAACCATGTCAGCACTGTCTCCTCCCACGACGCACACACATGTCCTGCAGGCCTCTGACCCTCCCCCAAGCGTACCTTTTTGTTTGTTTGTTTAAGGGTTTTGAGTTGTGTGGGCAGGTCAAGCACATCAGGGTGTGGGGAGCAAATGTGTTACACACATTGGCTTAAGTGAAGCAACCTAGTTTAGTGGTCAGGCTACAACTAACGAAGATCCATTATCCTTCTGTTTCCACCTAAGAGTTATTTGTTCCCAGCAAATGATCAAGACTGGGTTACCGAAAACATGCTTCTCCGTGCCCCTCTAGGAATAAGGAAAAGTGGCACTTGAAGGCCAAGTGAAGGAAGGATTCTAAGGGGAAACGCCTAAACAATTTGAGAGACAGAACTCACTTTGGAAACCCTTGCAGGACAAGCTTCAAGTGTTTGTAGCACCCTCATCACCCTGAGGCTCGCTAAGACCCAGCGGGCCATGGGTTCACTTAAGCGCCCACTGTGACTCTGGCCCTCACACTGACAGCACCTCCAAAGACTGTGAACAAAAGTGACAAATCTGAAAGGAAGAGCATATCAGAAACACCACGTCTGTTCCAGAAATGGAGGGCATCTGTTCTGTATCCTAATCTCTGAGAAAAACTTATAGACATATTGAGCCAATAACATTTCTCATAACATTTTTTTAGAGAAACATCTTTGCATGAAGAGACAGTCCTCTTAAACCACTGGTTCTCAATCTGGGGAGGTTCTGACCCTAGAGAACATTTGGCAAAGTGGAGACATCTTTGGTTGTCACCACTGGGGGTTGAGAGAGGGGCTGTGTGCTACTGGCATGTGGTGGGTAGAGACCACAGGTACCACAAAACTCACTACACTGCACAGGACGGCCCCCATGACAAAGAGTATCCAGCCCAAGATGTCTGTAGTGGTGAACTTAGAAACTCTGCCCTAAACAATTAGAATCTTCTTGGTATTATGATTGTATTTGTTACTTCCTAACTGAATCCACCTGTCTTTGGAAGAAAAACTCAGTGGGCAGCCTTTCTGGGAAAGGAGACAATTGAAATAATCCACAGGCCAATTCCATGGGTCCATATGACCCTCATCACAATCTCCTTCCAAAGCATTTTCACCAAAAAAGGGGCTTTTGCTTTGCTTAATAGCACTCTAAGGAGAAAACTGCTACCCACAGGGAAATACGTGGAAAGTCAATTTCACTCAGTTATTTCCATAAAGAAACCGAGAACAAACTCTAAATTGTTTCTCAAGTAAAATTACCTACAAAGCTGGCATAATTTTAAGTCCGTGTATGAAGCACATTTAAAACACCTTCACGTGGGCTTCCCTGGTGGCGCAATGGTTGGGAGTCCGCCTGCTGCGATGCAGCGGACATGGGTTCGTGCCCCGGGCCGGGAGGATCCCACATGCCGCGGAGCGGCTGGGCCCGTGAGCCATGGCCGCTGAGCCTGCGCGTCCGGAGCCTGTGCTCCGCAACGGGAGAGGCCACA